GGCATGAAAAGGCCCAGGACTCCCCACTGTAGCCCAGGAGCCTGAGGAGCCGCATCCTGTGTGTGTCCCCACCATGGTCTGGACCGTGCTTCTGTTCCAGCTCCTGGCTTATATATCAGGTAAAAAAAGGCCCTCTGCATCCTTGGTGGGAGACACATAACAGGAGGGTCTCAGGGTGACCTTGGTCCCTCATAACACCTGTCTCTCTCCTGTTGGTTTCAGGGGTGGATTCTCAGACCGTGGTGACCCAGGAGGCATCCAAGTCCGTATCTCTAGGAGGAACAGTCACACTCACCTGTGGCCTTAGCTCTGGGTCAGTCTCTACAAGTCACCACCCGACCTGGTTACAGCAGACCCTAGGCCAGGCTCCACGCAGGCTAATCCACAGCACAAGCAGCCGCCCCTCTGGGATCCCTGACCGCTTCTCTGGCTCCATCTCTGGGAACAAAGCCGTGCTTACCATCTCGGGGGCCCAGCCCGAGGACGAAGTGCACTATCACTGTGCTCTGCACATGGGTAGCTATATTGTCACAGTGATGTAAACCCACAGGGAAGTGCAACCAGAACCTCCTCATGGGCTCAGACTGGCTCAGCCTTTGATGCAGAAAAAGCCTGAAGGTGGAAATGGCCAACACACTATGGGAAGGGCGCTTGGTAGACATGCAATTCCCCTGGTAGACCCACTGAGTCAGGACGTGGGTTTGTCCCAGAATCTCTCCGTCCACACGCTCTCCAGGAAGTGGTTTAACATGAATGCTGGAGAAGCGCCTCTCCTTCTATGGTAACCGTCCTTGCTCGACGTCAAAGAATAATCTCAAAATGCATGAAAGACTGAAATGTCAGACTCAAAACCATAAAACTCTGAAAGAAATATATATAGGCTCTACAACCTCTGGAGGTTATCTTACCTACATGTTTTTCTAATATATCACTTCAGGCAAGGAAAGCAAGTGGAAAAATTAACCAATGGGATTCATAAACGAAAGAGTTTTTGCAGAGCAAAGGAAACCATCAACAAAACAAAAGACAACCTACTGAGCGGAAGTTATTCACCAATGACCATCTCATGAAGGGGTCCATGTCCCACATTTATAAAGAGCTCACACAACTCAACACCAGGAAAAGAAAGCAAACCCACAAAACAGTCCAATTAAAACATGGGCAGAGGACCTGAGTAGACTTCTTCATAAAGAGCACACAGAGGCCCACAGACAGAGGAAAAGATGCTCAACGTCACTGGGTCTCACAGAAATGTAAATTAAACCCACGATGCAATGCCCCCTCACATCCTCAGAATGGCTGTCATCACATCCACAAACAACAAGTGTTGGCAAAGACCTGAAGAAGAGTGAACCCTCATGCACTGTTGGGGGGAATGCAGATGGTGCGGTCACTCTAGAAAGCTGCATGGAGGGGCCTTAAAAAAATTACAGGCCAAACTGCCTCATTACCCAGCAAAACCCCAAAACAAGGATTTGAAGAACTGCACGCACCCTGTGTTCCCTGCAGCGTCACTGACAATGGCCGCACTATGGGAGCAAGCAGGTGCCCAGAGGGACCTAGAGGGGATGTTGCTGAGTACAGTAGGTCAGACAGAGAAACACAAACACCATATTTCACTCAAATGTGGAATGTAAAGGACAAATTAAATAAGCCAAGAAAATTGATAGGAACTCAGAGTACAAACTGATGGTTTCCTGAGGGCAGGGGGTCAGGAGACTGAATGGAAATGTTGGAGGAGTAATGTACTAATTGCTGCTTCCCAAACAGGGATGGGAAAGTGAACGCACAGCACAGGGAAGCCAGACAATAGCCTTGTGACAACCCTGTGCGGTGCCAGGTGGGCCCAGGTACCAGGGACACTTTGTAAAGCATAGGATTGCTTGCAACCCCTATGCTGTGCACGTGACACCGATACAAAATAATATTAAATGTAAACTAAAGTTAAAAAATAAAAGGTTTTATAAAAGTAGAGACCCAGCTTATGGGGCCTGGGAGGCCGAGGTGACGTATACCAGGCCCTGTGTGTCCCCTGCTCCCTGCCTTGGCCTAGATATTTATTCTCTGAACCCTGACACCTGAGGGAAGCTAGGTGTCTTTTTTCTGGAAATTACACTGTGAGGAGCGTGTGATCTCCCGGCTCTGGGCCCCTCCCCAGGAAGCACACGGCTCTCAGACACAGGCTCCCTCCCTCCCGTTCTATTCCCATGACCTCACCTTTTCCTCTCTCTGTGTTTTGTTGTTGATTTTGGAATGATATGTGATAAATGGTAATTGATTTGGATCTAGACCTTATAAACCCAATTCCCATTAAATCCAAAGAGCTCTTAACATATATATTTGAGAATGCCAATGAGATTAGAGAACAGCAAGTGAAGACTTCTGAACCCCATGATAGAGTGAAAAGCTCTAAAAAGGGTAGCTTCAAACGCTTGTACTAAAAACAATTACAAAAAAGACAAAAACATCTTAAACATCTCAAGCGCCGAAAGCAGGTATCGCCAGTGTAACGTTCCCGAGTAAATGAGAACCTGCAGAAGTCACCACGGGACACAAGACACTTGTTCCCGACATCGTCATATTCTCCTGGCAAAGGCAGAGGGAAAAGCCAAGACAAGTCCCCTGGGGGCTGGGACTCTGACAGGAGCCCCTCACAACAGCCATGGAGACAACAACAACCATGAATTTCACCCTGAAGAATCAACAAGTGGAATCATGACCAGGTAGGAACTGACGAGCTTTCTGGGGGAACATTAAGCCTCAACTTTGTTCCAAATCAGTGGTTCTCAACCTTCTGGCCCTTTAAATAGAGTTCCTCATGTTCTGACCCAACCATAAAATTATTTTCTTGGCTACTTCATAACTGTAATGTTGCTACTGTTATGAATCATAATGTAAATATCTCATATGCAGGATGGTCTTAGGCCAAGGGTTGAGACCCACAGGTTGAGAAACGCTGCTCCAAATGCTCATGCACCAGAAATTAACCCAGTGGCCAGGCAGACAGAGGGAAAGTTAACTATCAGGGTTCCTTTAGGTCTGGGACAGCAGCGTGTCATTTACTTTAGTGCAGGTCCCATGGAACCTGAGAAAATAACGGGTGAACCGCAGCATCAGTGGTGGGACCTGCTCATCCTCCTGCCTGGGGAGTGGCCTCAGGGAGATCACAGAGCCCTCCCAGGAGGCCTGGGTGGAGGAAATGGGCTGGAGGACAGGTGCTCTGGGACCAGCAGGGGGCGCTGGTGCACTGGGACTGAGAGCTCAGGGCTCTGGGCCAGGCAGCTGGGAACACACTCTACTGGCCCCTGTACACTTGGGCAGGCAGGTCCTCACTCAAGTGTGACTTCCCTGCACCTGGGCCCAGGAGGCACATGAGCCCTCAGCTCTGACCCCACACTTGTCTCCTATCCCACCCCGCCCTCATGGAGTCGTTGTCCAGGTCTCATTCACAGGAAAAGAGAGAGAAGCAATCACACAACAAAAAGTAATTTTGGTGGAAGAATTGTGACCTATGGAAAATTAAATTGACCATGCCAGTGTTAATGCATAGATGATTGGCTAGTGATTCCAACATAAATACCATAAATCAGTGTCATTTCCCCTCTGATGAATGCCATGTGTATCACCTTCCCCAACGACTGGAGACATGTTGTCCCCTGCTCATCCCCTTACATGTTTCCATCCCTCCCATTCTTCCTGCCCCTCAGGGAAAGGGACTGTAAACTGCTCTGTGATGTTCACACCGACTCACTCATTTCTGATCGTGAGCTACATGCTCTATTCTGTTTTATCAGATGGTAATCGGTTCTCACAATAACCTGGTGACACTGTGACATTTTCTCCTCTAAACCCTATTTATTTGGAAGGTCCATCATATAACTGATGGCTTCCTAGGACAAAAGAGCGTGGCCACCCCTGCCTGGAGGCGCAGCTCTCTGCGTCAGAACCCCCAACCCTGGTCTCCGGGTTCAGGGACTAGGACAGATGGACAGAGGACTCACTGCTGGAGGAAGGACTGACTACTAAGATCCTCCTAGGAAGACAAGGAGGGCTTTCCTGAGGAAGGAAGTAGTGTTCCCAGGGGTGGGGTGGGTTTTGGAATAACTAGATCGCTGGGGCCAGGAGGAGGTGGACACTCCCACCTCATCTTTCAGCCTCACACCTTCCAGGAAAGGAAGTGAGGACTCAGGTCACCAGGTCACCAGGGCACTGACTTGGTGAAAGACATCAACCCCCTCCCTCAGCGTCTCAGTTAATGTGGAGTCTATTGGTCTGTGTGAGGGCCCAGCATCTGCCTCTTTCAAGATCCCTCAGGGGACATGAGGGTGACCCTGGGGCAGGACTAGAGGGGAAGCTGATTTGCATGAGGCACCTTCTCCCCTAATGGGTGTGGGAGGCATGAAAAGGCCCAGGACTCACCCCTGCAGCCCAGGAGCCTGAGGAGCCGCATCCTGTGAGTGTCCCCACCATGGTTTGGATGGTGCTTCTGCTCCAGCTCCTGGCGCACAGCTCAGGTCAGAGGAAGGGCCTCTGCATCCTTGGGGGACACGGAACAGCAGGGTCTCAGGGTGACCTTCGTCCCTCATAACACCTGTCTCTCTCCTGTTGGTTTCAGGGGTGGATTCTCAGACTGTGGTGACCCAGGAGCCATCAATGTCAGTATCTCCAGGAGGGACAGTCACACTCACCTGTGGCCTCAGCTCTGGGGCCGTCTCTACTAGTAACTACCCCAGCTGGCACCAGCAGACCCCAGGCAAGCCTCCCCGCCTGCTCATCTACAGCACAGACAGCCGCTTTGATGGCGTCCCTGATCGCTTCTCTGGCTCCATCTCTGGGAACAAAGCTGCCCTCACCATCTCAGGAGCCCAGCCTGAGGATGAAGCCGACTATTACTGTAATTTGTACGTGGGTAGTGATGTTTACACAGTGATGTAAACCCACAGGGAAGTGCAACCAAAACCTCCTCATGGGCTCAGACTGACTCAGCCTGAGATGCAGAAAGAAGAGCGAGGGTGGAAATGGCCACACACCATGGGAAGAGGACATGTTCCATGACTCCATTTTCCTGTCCAGGAATTTTTGTCATGTCCCTCCTCCTACTCTCCCAGGGCGGGTCCATCTTGTCATGTGACTCCTGCAAGAATGGGCTTTCCCTCTTCCTCTCTGCCCATAGTTACAGGGATGAGGTCAGGTCCCAAGTGGATCAACCTACATGAGACTCAGAGATCTTATCAGTACCTATAAGACTTCCCTAACTTAAAGAGCAATCACAAGATATCCTCATTTATGAGTTCGACTGTGGAGACAAAGTAAATGTTTAGTTTGGCCTTGAAATGGCGCATTACCTGGCGCTTGTTAGAAATGCAATTCCCATGATAGACCCACTGAGACAGGAATGTGTTGTTGCCCCAGAATCTCTCTGTCCACAAGCTCTCCAGTAAAAGGCTCAACAGGAATGCTGGAGAAGCTCCTCGTTTTCCATTGTTACCTTCCTTCCTCCACATCAAATAATGAACTCAAAATGCATGAAAGACTGACATGT